AGAGGGTAGGGGATGGAGGTTAGGGTTTGGAGGTAAGTGTTTGGAGGGTTAGGGGTTTAGGGGTTAGGGGTTAGGGGTTAGGGGTTAGGGGTTAGGGGTTAGGGGTTAGGGGTTAGGGGTTAGGGGTTAGGGGTTAGGGGTTAGGGGTTAGGGGTTAGGGGTTAGGGGTTAGGGGTTAGGGGTTAGGGGTTAGGGGTTAGGGGGGGCGGATGCGTCAGACGTATGCGTAATACGTGAGGCGTAACCCTTGCTGGCCGCCACTTCTCAGTCAAATCCGTCGTGCGTGTGCGTAGTACGTGGGACGTAAGGTCCCCCCGGACAGCCATGGCGAGCGATGCATCAGACGTGTGCGTAATACATGAGGCGTAACCCCCTCTCCGCCGCCGTTCACGGTCGAGAGCGTAGTGCATGTGCGTAATGCGTCGGTCATAGGCCCACCCGGCCCCGATTTACGATCCCACTGCGTAAGACGTGTGCGTAATACACCGTGCGTAGCGCCCCGAGAGAGCCTCTCTGGCAAAGCTTACATAAAACAGATGCGTGGTGCGTGGTGCGTAGCGGCCAGAAGGTCGGTGGTAACGATGGGTGCAGAAGACGTGCGCATAATACGCAGCACATTTGAAATCACCGATCGCGCTTTCTGTCTGCACGCGTAAAGCGAGGCGTATGCGTGACGCATCACTGAGCCGCCACCCGGCTTGACACGGCACCAAAATACAGGACGTATCAGCGACGTCCTACGGACCGTGGGCATGGATGTGCATAAGGTGGCCAACAATTGCATTAGTGGCTCTTACATATCCATAGCGGGACCGCCTACCTCCCTATACAGGCGGCGAACACCCACACACGAACGCGTTCACCTCCTCAGACACGGCTTACCGTCTTACCGACGCGGGCGCACAGCCGTCCTCGCTTAGGCCATCGCATTGCGCTCTCCCGCGACCGACCGCGTGCACCTCCCGGCTCTGTGGCGCCGATCATTTTTAGAGCAGGCGGCCGCCGGATGACGCAGCTGCGCTTTGATGGCGAGCTCATGAACGGCCTGCGTTCCTGCTCGAAGACCCGTCTTAGGCCCGTCTGGTGCCAGCCTAGTTGTCCTCCTTCTTCTTGGCCAGGTTGAGCGCGCGACCTGCGCACGACGGGCCCGCGACGATGCCTTGGCCCGCGCAATGCTCTCTTCGCGCGCCGCCCGGTCCGCCGAGTTCGACCGCAGGGGACCGAGGCAGCCCGGGAGAGGCCACCGGAAACGGGACTGTACGCGGCACCCGCGCTCGTCGTGCCCCGGGGCGTCTTGCTGGGAGAGGTGGGCGGCGTGACAGGGCCTCTCTCGGCTGCGTGTGCCGCCCATCGGCACGCGGGTACGCAGACATCGCGACTCTGCCCGCTCGCTCTACCCTTTTGCCGCGAGAGGGCGCCGGCCGCGTGTAAGAGGTGGCTGGCGCCCTGCAGCATTTGGTTGGGTCAGCGTTCGGTGCTGAGTCTAACTTGTCGGCGCTGGGGCCAGATCCCAGCGCAGAATTCTGCAACGCTGGCATGCAGACACAACAAGACTAACCCCAACCCTAACCCTAACCTCGAACCCTAACGCTTAATAACCCTAACCCCAACCCTAACCCTAACCCTAACCCTAACCCTGACCCTAACGCTAACCCTAGGTCAGCGTGCGGGGCTGAGTGGCTTAGTCTTCGGCGCTGGGGCCCGATCCCAGCGCAGAATTTTGCAACGCTGGCCGATATGTGTGGACCCAACAAGACTAACCCAAGAAGCCCAACTAACCCCCTAGCTCTCCACATTGCATAAGCACCGGGCCTCCTAGTCCTACTCGACAGTTTCGGTCAGTTGTACCTCACCGTTTTCCTCCAACCCCCCCCCCCCCCCCCTCCTCCCTGTCGGCCGACGCCGCGGCAAGCACAGGCCAAACATAAAGTCGCTCGCTGGTCGCTCGGCCAACACGCGCGGCCGCGACGTCGCCGCGCGCAGCCCTGCGCACAGGGTGAGTTCCCGCCGTGCCGCGCTCTCTAGAGTTGTATAACTAACCCTAACACCCTGACCATAGTCTGAGGGTATCCTAAAAGTTCGGCCGATTTGGGTCAAAACGCTAAAAGCACGCCTAGGCGTAGAGTTGGGGCAAAACGACAAAGTGGGCCCGCCCGGGGCAAAATGGTAAAAGTCGCGCGCCGCAGGCGCGCAAAAATTTTGCGAGGGGCGCTTTCGAGGCGAGCAGCACAGCATTTTTCTAGCCATAGTGTGCGGGAACTACTTCGCGGGACAATAGCTACTACTTACTGCACCTCCGGCGCGCGGAGCCCGGAGCGCCGATTTTTTTTTGAGACGAAATGCTAAAAGTTGGCGCTCCGAGACGATCGAAGTGGTAAATGTCGCACTCTCCCCTGACCCGATCAAAAGTCTAAAAGCACCCGAGGCTCCAGAAACCTAACCCTCAGACTATGACCCTGACGGACCCTAATAACCCTATAAACCCACGACCCTCCCAACTGCCAGTTGTAGCCCGGTCGAACACTGCCCGAACAAATAAATTTCCCCTTTGAGCTGAGAGGTTTTGGGATTTCGCTCCGAGCGACGGTGCCAACGAGAATCGTCAAAATCAGGCAATCAAGAGACCGGTAGCCACCAGCATGTCTGCGTCTTTCTCCTGCTCCCGCGCCCCCCGCGCCCGAACTATGCATGGGCCCGGCTCGCCCGCTTGGGGATCCACCCGGCACATCCCCGCCCCCCACCTGCCGGCTTACCTGCCGTCAGTTCACGGGATCGCCCTCAACTGTCAGCAACACAAATCCACCAGTTTTTGGGCTGCCTTCAGCCTCGCCTCAACAGCCGACCTTCTGGTCGTACGCGGGTTCTTAAGGGTCGTACATGCCGGCCATGACGTCTGCCAACCGGCCGTTCGCAGGCGGTAGCTTCGCACGCCCCCGACAACTCCGAGAATGACCCGCACGAGAAGTGCGCGTCGGCGGCGCACTTTTCCTCCCAGGCTGTGGCTGCTGCCTTGGCCACCCTGGCCTCCCTCGAGGGGTCGCCAGGACCCGCCGCGGCCCTGGCGCGGCCCACGGGCGGCTTGATGCTCATCGACGCCTTCACCCTCGTCGGCCTGGCCGGAAAATACGCCAGCCGCTCGGGTGCCGCCCGCCTCCTAGAGGCCGAACCACCAGTGCTGTGAGTATTGACGCCCTCCCTGCACCTCAGGCGCGTCCCTCGCCCTCGCCGCCGCCGCCGCCGAGCCCGCCGCCGCCCTCGCCGCCGCCGCCCTCGCCGCCGCCACCGTCGCCGCCACCGCCGAGCCCGCCGCCGCCGTCGCCCCCTCTGCCGGCGCCTTCTCCGCCCTCGCCACCCCCACTGTCGCTTTCCCCCCACCAAGCCCACCACCGCCGTCGCCGCCGCCGCCCAGTCCGCCTCCGCGTCACCGCTGCCTCCCTCGCCGCCGCCCCCAAGCCCGCCACGGCCGCTGCCGCCGAGCCCGCCGCCGCCATCGCAACCGCCTCCGAGCCCGCCGCCACCAAGCCCCC